AAGATAGGAGGGAAACAGACCAATTAAGAGACTACCATTCCTCTGATTTAAAAATTTGAATGGTTTTCCAGTGCTCCCTGAATTATGCATGACCTGGCATTACAGCCCTCCCAACATGGTCACAGAATATTCTGGTGTTCTACCCCACTTCTCTCACTTAAGAGGCTCCAGTTAAATTGACCAATCCCTGTTACAAAACAAAACAAAACAAAAAATTCATACACTTACCAACTTCTTGGCTGATGTTTTTTTTTTCCTTTTCCTAAAATGGCCCCCATCTCTTCCTATCAAATATTCATTCATTTATTTGGAGGTTGGAGCTATTTTAAGGTTTGGGGATTGACTGGTATGATACAAGCTGTTAACTTTCATAGAATTAGTTGCACAAATGAATAATTATAATTCAGTGTAATCAGTATAGTGACAGAGAAAGATCTGCTTTTGGAATAACCTTAGAGAGGTATGCTTTAATCCCTTCCCTTAGGGAATCGGTAGAAGGGGAAGCTTCCTGGAAGAGGTGAACCCTGTCCTAAGCCTTAGAATGTATAGGAGCTTCCCTGGCAGGTATAAACTAGAAAAAGAAAGTGAGGAAAAATATTCAGGCATGAAAACAAATTAAGCGACTGCGCTGAACTACAAAATAGGGAATTTATAAGGGAAATGAAAGCAGTTCGGTGTTCCTAGAATGTAAAATCTGAAGCTGAATAGTCAGATAGTGGCCAGATTGTGGAAAACCTGGTATACTATGTTAGAGAGTTTGTAGTTACTCTATCAGATAGTAGTTTTAAAACACTCCTTTAGCAGAAGAACCCTTTCTTTATAGAAAAGCTTGTGTAGAGGCCCTGTATAGCAGATAAACTCAAAATTATGCCCTGGTTGGAACAGAGATACCTCCCCCTGGCACATACTTCCACACACAGACATACCATCACTCCTTTGAAAATCATTGCTAGAAGCAAAGGAGAACAACTGGAGGGCTTTAAGCCTCCAAATGGCATTATCATATTTGCATTTGGGAAATACTTTGATAACTCTGTAAAGGGTAGACTTAAGGGGCAGAACATCACCAGTGAAGAGACCATGTTAATAGTTTAGATAAGAGATAAGAAAAAGCTTTTGGCACCAGGTGTGATGGAGTAACCTGTAGAAGACTAGCCATCCCATTGCAAGCAACATAAAAATGGGCCAAAATATGTACACATATGTATATCTCAGTTATCTTCAAGCATTGGACAATAGGCAGTCAAAGACATGGATGGTGGTCACCGTTGGCCTGGCTGTCTGTTGCATACTGTTTCCTGACTGTGGAGCTCCATCTGGTATCCAGGCAGGGCGCAGTAGTCTGACCAAGCTGAGGAGACAGAGAACAGAATTCTGCAGGTGAAGGGGCTGCAATCCGCTGGGCAGGACACTGGCAAGTCTTTGGGCAAGGGCCAGATAGCATACACGTATGGCAAGACTCCCCAGGCTTTCCAGAGAGCATCTGAATTATTGAGAACAAAAGAGAGAATACTAGTGATCGTACTGAGCAGTGATAAAGGCCTGACTCTGCCAGTGAGAGACTTTTTTAAAACCTTAACCACCCCAGGCATCCAGCTTGATGTACCAGAAAGATCCCACCTCAGAAATGCAGAAATGGGGGTTTAGTAAAGCTTAAGTAATTTCTTTAAGCCTCCACATTTAGTACTGGTGGTAAGGGTTTAATAAATAAATAATTTAGAGCTGGAGGGTACTGAGTATTGATCAGTGGTTGTCAACTTTGTCTGCACATTAACGTGACCTAGGACATTTTTAAAAATCCCAATGCCCAGGCTGCACTATAGCCACTGAACTCAGAATGTCCAGGATTGGCCTAGGCATTGGTATTTTATAAAGCTCTGCTGGGTTATTATAATTTGCAGACAAGGTTGAGAACCTCTGTTACAAATGATGCTTTAAAGTGCTTAGTCTGGAAGAAGAGAAAACAACATCTTGAGGCAGTTCTCAACCCTAGCAAGTATCAAAATCAACTGGAGGCATGTTAAAATGTGGTTTTCTGGGCTTCACCTGCAATTTCTTATTCAGCAGGTCTGGGGTGGGTCCTGAGAATGTGCATTTGTAAAAAGTTCACAGGTGCTGCTGGTCCAAGACTACATTTGCTTTGAGAGCCAGAAAGTTGAGGGATTTTCTTTCTTGAAAAGGATTAAAAAATCTTTTAGGGATACAGTAGACTTGAGCATCATTTAAGCATTCTTTAGGAGAAGAATTAAGTGAGAGGAGCTCTTTTGCTATTAGAATAACCTTGGCTTCCTTGTCCTTGACTACTTAATCTTTATGTGCTCGGATTGAAATTAAAATTATTTTCTATGTAATTCTAAATAAATGAAAGAAAGTTTTGCAGAAATTATAGAAATGTATATATAATATAATGTTTTCTAGGTAACTTGGTGTGTTTGTGCCATGCTGCACTTTCACTGTTGTGGACGGCTTGGGACTAACAGAGAGGTCTTAAGTCAGAGATCTATTTTACTTTGCTAGGAACATATCCAAATGCCTGAGAAGCCATTTACTTCCTGTTGTGCTCCACTGTCCTCAGCTAAAATGGAATGAATCAGTGTGTGATTTTTTTTTTTTTCTCCTGAGGGGGAAATATTCAAAAGCACAGGTCAATGCAAAAGAGGTTAAAAACAATTCCTGTCATGTTAGAGAACCTGAAAGATATACAATTTTTAAAGAGTAATTCAGTATAAACAAGTAAATTGAATCAGCAAATTACATTAAGACAATCAGAAATGAACAAAATTGCTTTTCTAAAAATGTCTCTCTAAAACTGATTCTCTTCAGCCAAACACTAAGATTGTCAACTTTCAGCTTAGTTCATTTGAAGATACTTAAAATATGATATCTGATTTTCAAAGAGTTGATCAAACTTTTAAAAATATTTTAGGTAAGCAATCAGTGTTGTGAAAGTAAAATATTCTTAAGAAATGCAGGTTTAGAATAAAAGACCAACATTTGCATATATCCCATGTCAGAGGCAAAATGCCCTAAGTTTTAAGAGCAAATACTTTGAAAAAAACTTTGATCATATTTTAAGTTTCAACATTTGGAAATGAAGTGTTTATATTAAAACTTAGAGAAAAAAATGGTAAGTGAATTTTAGGCCCAAATAAGAAGTTTGATCTATTTTATTTATCTTCCCCATAGATATGATAAAGGCAAAGTATATGATAATAGTAGTCATTTCTTACTTTTTCCTGGATATAGCCATTATAAATTTCCACAGAAAAGATCATATTTTAAGATCATATTTTTTATCTTAAAATATCAAAAATAAACTACGACTACCACTTGTCTGTATGGCTTTAGGCCTTCATTATTTCAGATAATAGCTATTTTTAGAACTATTATGAAAATAGTTGTGTTTATCTAGGTTCCTCTGTCCAAAGAGCCAAATAGTTTTTTCTTTTTACAAGTTCACCCCCATTCTTTACTATTGCCCTTTTTATTAGAATGGAGTTCTTTAACCTCTCAATGCTACTCTTCTAATTATTTAGGTAGAGATAATATAATTTGCATCCTAAACAGGATGGATGACTTATATTGCTGTTTGTAAAGTTTTATATTTCAGAGTACTTTTGGAAGGGTTCATATCTTTATTGATGCTGTTATTTGGTCTTTCCTTGTTTTTTAGAATATTACCTTTCTTAATTATGCCATTTAGTTTCTCAATGTGCAAGCAGTAACCACAGCTTAGGTAATGAGGAAACGGGGATTTTAGTCCTATGAAGAGTATGAAACTATTCAGTCCTTATTAAGACATTAGGGCTTTGCTCTTCAGATTCAGTAACAAGAGAGAGCCTCCCTTGCTATCATCCCCATGACCCCAGCCATAGGCATTGAATTACTGAGACAAGGTAGATGACACATACACTTAAGCCTGGTATTTATTCTAGTTTTGCACGATCAGTTTATGTGTGTGTCCATGTAATCTTTTAGAGAACTAAATCACTCCTTGTATGTAAAAGGGGATAATAATAATGCTCCCTCATAATGTCACACGTCATAATTTGTTGAAATTTGAATATTACAGCCATGAGAAGTTAGAAGCTACTATTAATTACTGACATTTTACCAAACTAAGATGTTACCAGTACTATTCTTAATTCTGATAAAGGTTACTAACAAAACTTACTAACAGACTTACTGTGAAAAGTCTTTCCCCTCTATGCCCAAACTAAAATGATTTGGTCTTTTAGCATTAGCACACACACAAAAAAGAACTTTGAGCCAAATCTTACTCTACAATGATAGTGTAAGTTTAAAAATAATTATTGATATCAGAGATGTTTTGTACCATTCGTAGTTCTCATTCCACATATATAAACAATACTTGGTATGTTTCTGAAATTATGCCAGAAAAAATATTTGTTAGGATTTCAAAAACTAGTCTCACTTTTAGAAGGAAAATACACCATTTCATATAAGTATCTATGTAAGTTTTCACTGAAAATATGTTTTATTAACTATATCTTAAGTGCTTATTCTAACATTGAATAAAACTTGGGAGATTTTACTAGTTTTATCTAATAAAACCTTCTTTTAAGAGAATTTTGGAGCTAAATTTTTCTGGCCGACTTTTTTTCCATTTACTTTGTTGAGCATGGACAGAATTGGAGTTTGTAAACCAGTTTCTGATGTAAAAGAATCTTTTATTTGTGTGGGGTGTATTGTCCAAGTTCCCAATGCAGATACACACCTGGATATGATTTGTATGTCATCATGTAAGCTCGTTTACATGCTCACCTTTCCTGATTTTTCAGTTTTCTTATTAAAGAAATGCTTCCTGAAAAGGGATTGGTAATAGTTTACTATTGTGTGTACTTTATTTCTACATTTCTCCTTCTTTTCTCTGATAATTACAAACTCCTGTCTTCATTAACTAAAGACATAATTCAATCAGAAGCTAGTCATGGCGAATTCACTATTAAGCTTCATGACTTTTTCTTTTGGTTAACTAGATTCCTGTGGAGGGAGGACAGGAACAGCAGACAGATTCTACCAAAGGGCGATGCCTGAGGAGAACGGTCAGCGTCCCTTCCGAGGGTCAGTTTCCTGAGTACCCACCAGAGGGCGCCACTAAACTGGGTAAGATGATAAAAGGAAAGAAATTACTTTTATGCGGTAATTTATGGACTTGTTATTGCGTGTTACAGTAAAACAAAAAGCATCCTGCATTTCTTGTGAAGTAGGTGCGTGGAGCTGTAGTATGCTAACCAAGAGTTAGTGGTCATCAGAAAGTACTTTTATTACCAAGTGGCAGCAAAGTTATTTTACTGAGATAAAATTTACCTGAGTGCTCAGTAAGGTTCCTATATGGCCTCAGCAGGTTGGATGATGTGATGTTTCTGAGGTTGCTGACTGGCTTTAAATTATAAAAGAGCATTAGTTGATCTTATTGAGACACAGATTCACTGGGGAGCCAGTTTGGTGTACACTTAGCATCGAGTGGCTTGTGTCTTGTTCGCACAGCCACTGGTGTTGTCCTGTATAATGTTAGATCAGGCTAATCTAGTCGACCTGATTTTACACGCCCCACAAAAGTTATATTCGTAACCCTGGTTGGAGGGGCTGACAGAAGGGAGAGATTGAAAAAACCCACCTGAGTTGTTATACTCTGAAGGAATTAGTGTCACTGTCAAAGCAACTCTTCACTCATTTCCTACCTTATGTTTCCGTTTGGTGTTTTGCATGCTTACCAATAGATATTTAGATAATTAGATCAGTTGGGTAATTTTAAGGGTGTGTGATTAACATTAAATAAAGTAATGAAAAAACCTTGAAAAGTAGGAAGTGCTTTGCATTGTTGCAGTATTATTTGCTTAGTAAACCTAGACATTTAGTTGTAGATGTTTCATAGATAGATAAAACGTAACCATTTATTGTTTCCTTGTTGGTTAATATGGATTCTTCTGTGATTTGGGTTGTATTTTTGAAAGTCAGCATTTGTGAATTTTTTTTTGTCTGTGCATTTTTCTTCATTTCTCTTTATTTCCTAAACAGAACTCAGAATTTCTGGTCAGAATTTGAATCCATTCTCTTTTTATCCTGTCACAGTTGTTGCTTTTCTAGAAATAGGTTAACAAGCACTTCTCTCCAAGGAGTCATACTTGGAGAAATCACATTTTCATCTCATCTTATTTCCACTGTTCTTCTTTTGCATGCGTTGCAACCAGTTTAGGTGTGGTCCTAAATTATATTGTAAACCTGTCTGGGTGTAACCAGTTTATAGCCTGTTGATATTTCACATGTTAGTTCTGTGTGAACTGGACTGGCTCAGAGTCACCTTCCTTCAACTCCTTTGTGGTCATTATTTGTAATGTTATGTGCTGTCTTTGCTGCTTCTCTGGGAACCTTGGCATGTTCAAGCTTTGATCCACTAAAGTCTATTGATTTTGAAGAAGTGTAGTCACAGTCTGAAGTTGTTACCATTTTATAGAAGAGAGAACTAAACAGTAAATTGTTAAGTATCTCTAACATTTCAAGTACTGGTCCCAAAGACAATGAGAGGTGGCCAAGGTGTCTAGTCCAGAGCCAATCTTTCTCCTTTGTCCTTGCTGAAAAGTTTGGTACCATCTTGATTCATGGCAGTCCACAATCATTTTTGGAGGCTCTTCTAAATTAGCACTGGAAACTATTGCTCATACACAGTGGAGGGGAAAAGACTACATTTGGAGCCATTCCCCCTTACATGCCAATCTAATGTTGAATTAGATAATTATTCTGTTATTCTATTTTTATCTCCTAGTGATTTATGTTTAGGCAAAATTTCTTGCTATCAAATATTTAATTGAGTAATTGCTGTCTATGTAACATTCTATACCATTCCCTAAGAATGAAAAGAGATGTAAGATAAAATTTCTGCCTTTAGAAGATTCTTATGTAGTTAGGAAGACAGGTGATGGATAATTATTCACAGTACATGTTATTGTTATAGTATATTATATAGCTTTTGTTGATTTTTATATTTTTTAAAAGCCTATTCCCTTATTCAGCAAATATTATTGAGTGACAACTATGTGCCAGAAGCTATTCAAAGCACTTGAGATACAGCAGTGAAAAAAACAAACAAACAAATTTCTCTCCCTTTGTAGAGCTTACATTCTAGACAATAAGCAAGAGTAATAGGTAAAATTATACTATGCCAGATGATAAATACAAAGAAAAAAATTAAGTAGCGAATGGGGATAAGAAGTGTCAAGGAGGTATAAGTTTAGCTAAGATGTCCAAGGAATGCCTCTCTGTTATGTGATGTTTGAGTAAAGATCTTATAAAAGTATGAGAGTAAAGCATGTGGATACCTGGGGTGAGGTGTTCTATGTAGGGGAACAGCTAGTGTAAAATAGGAATATGCTTGGATTTTCCAGGAGCAGATAGATAGATGCCAGTGAGGCTGGAGTAAATGAACAAGGGGAGAGTAGTAGGAGATGACATCACTGAGCTCTTTGGCAAGCAGATCATAAAGGTCTCATAGGTCATCATGAGGGCTTTGACTTGTACTCTGAAATGAGGACCCACTGACTTGTATATTGAGAGTGGGGGTGCAAGAATGGGGGTTCAGAGACCAATTAGAATGCTGTTGCAATAATCCAGACAAGAAATGATAGAACTTGGGCCATAATGGTAGTAATGGAAGGGCTGAGAGGTTACCAAATTCTGGATATATTTGAAGGTAGAGCCAAAATGGAATTTGCCTGATGGATTGGAAATGGAAAGTTAAGAAAAGGAAGAATGAAGAATTTTCGTTAGAGCAGCTATAAGAATTAAGTTGTCGTT